TAAAAAGTATTATTATTTAAAAGATTATTTAAATTAATTAAAAACTTAATTAATTATTTCTAAATTAAAATATATATTTTTTTATAAATAATTAATAAATATTAAATTACCAATAGAAATAAAAGTTATAATAGTTATTATAAATAATAAGAATACAATTTTTTAGATATAATTTATTTAAAATTTATAAACTTTTATATATATAAATATAAAATCTAGAAACAAGCTTGTCTAATAATATAAGTGCATTTAAATTAATGAATTTTGTATAAATTTATATTAAATATTGTGAATTAAAGTATTTAAAAATTAAGCAAAATAAAAAAATTCTAAAAAAATTTTTATTAATCAATTTTGCAAATATTTTTAAAAAAAATATATTTTTATATTATAAACTAATAATTAATTAAAAAAAATATAATTTGCTAATTTCTTAATAAAATATAGTAAAAATAAAAAATTAATTTTTATTATATTTTATTAAGAAATTTAACAAAATTATATTTTTTTAATTGGTTATTATTTTGTAATGATAAAGTAAATTTAATTGAAAATTTATATATATATTTTTTAAGATATAAAAATATATTTGCTTAAAAATATTTGCAAAATTGATTAGTAAAAATTTTTCTAGAATTTTTTTATTTTGCTTAATTTTTAAATACTTTAATTTATAATATTTAATATAAATTTATGCAAAATTCATTAATTTAAATATACTTATACTATTAAATAAGCTTATTTTCTAGATTCTATATTTATATATATAGTAATAATCAGAAATAATACAATAATATCAAAATTTATTAATTAAATATAGTAAAATATGAATTTTTTTCTTTATATAAAAATTTTTAATTTTACTAATAAAAATTTTTTATTTTTATATTAAAATAAATATAATATTATATATTTAACATATATTTTTTTTAGATTTTTAGATTTAATCTGATAAAGCTGTTCTAATTATATATAAAGTTAATTATTTTTTATATGTTTTAATTATAAAAAATAATTAACTTTATATATAATTAGAACAGCTTTATCAGATTAAATCTAAAAAATCTAAAAAAAATATATGTTAAAATATATGATATTATCTTTATTTTAATATAAAATAAAAAATATTTATTAGTAAAATTAAAAACTTTTATATAAAAAAATTCACATTTTACTAATAAATTTTGATATTATTATATTATTTCTGTATATATAAACAAAAATAAAAAATTTTATTAATTAATAACTTTGAATTTAATCAATTTAATTTTTTTATATAGTAATTTATAATTATTTTTAATTATTTTATATAATAAATAGTTTAATTTCTTAATAATTTTTGTTAAAATTTAAAATATATATTTATATTAATGTATTTATATAATACAAACTTATATTTCTAGAAAAAATATTAAAAATATTTTTTAAAAAATTCAAAAAAGTTTTGTTTTATTTAAAATTTTATAAAATAAAAATAGTACAAATAAATACTTTATTTAATATAAAAAATTATAATTTTTAATATATTTAATTAATCAAATTATTTATATTTTCAAAATTGGTGCTATGATGTGATTTTGGTATCTGCTTGATTTATAATCATATAATAATAAACCAATAAAAATGAGCAAAATATATATGTGTCAATAACTATTAAAAATTAATTTTATAGTTTAAATTAGAATAAGAGTTATAATAAAAAGTGAAATTATATGTAAAATTATCTTACTGATGTTATAATTTAGAATTCTTAATAATTCTTAATAATTCTATAAATTCTTTTATAATTTTATAATTTCTTAAATTATATATATGTAGAAAAACATAAACTAGATTACAAAAATTGCAAATTTGCACAATAAATACAACGAAAAATATCTATTCTGATATTTAATTTTTTGCTTTTAATTATAAATTGTTATTTATTAAAATAACCAAGTCAACATTCATCTAATCTTTAATATGTATTTTTTAAGAATTTTAACAAAAAATACTAAGCATAATCTGCTAAAAACAAAAAAGATTTGTCTTACTGTACAAACAAAAATCACACCAGATAAAGATTTTTCAAAATAGAATGAACTAATTGTGCAATTCTAAATAATTAAAAAGTAATTTCATCAATAAATATTCATTTTCAGTTATTATTAAGGTAACATTGTGCTTATTTTATACAAGCATTAATGTTACAACTCTTACATTTTCTCAAAATCATATTGAAGACCTGCACACTTTTTTAATAGTTTTGTAACTAATGTTCATGTTGATATTGTGAAATTTCTTTGAATATATTATTTGATAGCTTTGAAATCCTTGTATCATCTTTTTAGAACAACCATTATACTGTTTTTTTTTAATTTATTAATATTGTAATAAATAGTTCTCTTCGGAATGTTTGTTCATGGTGTATTATGTATTCACTCGCCCCATCCACATGTTTGGTCGCAAAGTTCATTATTGGATGTATAGCAAATCACGTTAAAGTAGTCACGTGTATTATCATGTGATCGGAAACAATATCACCTACATCCTGATCCAGTTAATAAAATGTATAAACTTTACTAAGAAGTAAATACAAAATTTAATCCGTGAATATGCTCAGAAAAGGCCTATTCTATCATATTCACGAATTAAATTTTGTATTTACTTCTTAGTAAAGAAGTTTATACATTTTATTAAATACAAACGTTTGATGACCTTGTTTATCTGAGATTGGTTGAAATGATTAGTACCAGAATATTATTCCATTCGGAGTTGAATAATACCCCCGTACTATACAAGGGGGATACTTTACCAGGGGGTACTGTAGTAAGTGCTATACGGTAATCGTCTCGGTTTTGTTTCAGACGAAAAAATACGTATATTCAGTTATTTCACTGGAAATGAAAAACTACAAACCGATGCACTATCTTGCCTTGATGACTTAACAGCGGATGATGAGAAACGTGGTTACTTGAGGTTTCTAATCTCTACGCCTGGTATATTCTCACACAGAGATTCAATCTAAGTATAAAATAATGTGCTTCATTTTCTGTCTGTACTGTTGTCGCTAATAATATCGAATACCTACTTAATCTTGTGCTTTTCTTTCTTTCCTGCTTATCATCAAACATCACCCAAAACCACATTCACGTTATCGTAGAACAACCCGTTGCCACTGGTAAGTGAGTCGTAATAAATTTATTCAACGCAAGAGAACGGACCTGGCTTGACTTTTTGATAACCGTTGTTTCATTCTCGTCTTCGCTGTGTCATATTTACTAATAATATCGAATACTTATTCCTATTGTACAGAGTCTCCTGGAAAACGCAGGAAAATCGATCTATGGGATGAAACTGAAAAAGACCGGGGAAAGTTTTGGAAATCTTTGGAGAATGCGAAAGTTGATAATAATTTTCTTCAGATATCCGAGGGCATCTATTTCTTAGGCGAAAAGAGCAGGGCGCCATTCTATACATCCGTAAATGTTATGATCACTTAGCTAATATTATCTTTAATGAGAAAATACATCGTTGTCGTATTACCGGTAATCCCGGAATTGGCAAAACTGTTTTCGGATTTTATCTACTTTATTTGCTTTCACAACAAAATAAAACCATTGTATATCACAAAGCTTGCCAATATCCAATTCTCTTCAACAATCAACATACCTTCTGTAGTGATAATATCTCTGACTTTAAAAGATACTTGGACAATACAGATGTCTGGTATATTGTAGATGGTCAACTGCCACTCCAAGTTCATGCTAAGACAATTCTCTGTTCTCCACAAAAACAACATTACAAGGAATTTGATAAGATGATGGGAACAACAATACAATTCATACCGGTATGATCATGGAACGAGATCAACGAATGCAGGATTGGGATGTTCAATCATCTCGAAAAAGCAAACGTCGAGAATTTGTTCTCACGTTGGGGAGGGATTCCTCGATTCACCCTAGAAAAAGCTCAAGATTCTTCTCAGCAAAATCATCTCGAAGATGCAATTAGCAAGAGTAATTGGAGATTATTTGATTTTGTTGGAGAAATTGATCACGCCGATGACGTTAGTCACAGGCTCATTCATATTCACACGAATCTGCCGGATGAAGAGAGTGAAGAGAATGGTGAAGAAGCTCCTTACATTCAAAAAAATTTATACGATTTGCGTCTGAATACGTAGCCGAAAGAGTGATGGACAAACTCGAAAGGAATTACAGTCAGTTGAGGAGTTTTGTGACAGCAAGCTCATCAGAAAATGAATATAGTACGCTCCGGGGCGTTATGTTCGAACAGATTGCACATCGAATCTTACAAAAGGGAGGGACATTTAATATTCGTCCTTTAGAATACGACTTCACAAGTTCTACAATTGAAATTCCAGAACGGATCAAGTTGGTGTTTAATGATATTAATAAGATCGAGGAGGGTAAGTACTGTCAACCAATTCAAAAGAACTTTGCATCCATTGATGCAATTGTTGCACCAGACACACTCTTTCAGATAACCGTGAGCAAGAATCACCCTATTAATATGAATGGCATGAAAAATCTTGTTGAAAAATTGGGTGGAAAGTCGGGGATAAATACTATCTATTTTTATTTTGTCTTATCGAAAGATTTATCTGAGAATTACCAAATACAGCACTTTCATACTACCGGCAAAACTGTTGCCAAGAAGATATCCCGTTGGATTACTAGTCGTGTTAAGCAATACGCGTTGAAAATTGACTTGAGTTCTTGGTGATAAGTTTAGTATATGGTTAGCTTGTGAGAGATTATGTAATTTTTATTGCGAATTTTAATAAATATCTATTGCACGAAACTATTTTTCACATGTGGGTTTATGGATCGTGCTTGTAATAATTCGTTAATCCGTCAATCGAATTGCCTTTCAGCTAAAATATTCAGGGATCTCGATTTTCATTACTGATCGTTATAGGGGATGAACATGGATCTTTTGATTTATTCCGCAATTTACATATTAATGATGTTTTTTCTGGCCTTTTCTTTGCAGGGTCCATAATTCGAAACAATTACTCCGAAATCACCTTACGTGATCGCAAAATTCCGAATTCGATTCTTAGGCTGTAGATATTTACAGCAAAATATATAAAAATGAGGTGGTCTAGGTTAGGCTAGTAATTTATTTATCTGCATCCGGCAATGTAAACGGATCCAGGAATATATATAACAAAGATCACTGAAATTTTCGGGACAATTGGTCTCGATCAAATCACATGACTGAAATTTCCGAGACCGCCGGTCCCGGAAAAATCTTGGTATCACATACGCAGTAAAAGGCATTTATTCTCGAATGTAGTAGGGGCATTAACGTGCTTGTCTCGATAATCTGTTAATCGGGTTTTGATTTTCACTATTAATAATAACAAAAACCAACTAGATGATAATGTTATAGTATATTTTATTATCGGCATTTTTATTGGACATTATATTTCATCTTATTGATTCATATTTATTCATATACTTCATGAACATTATTTAATTTATAATTTATATAATTTATAGATCGATGACCAGTGGGACAAATAATATGATCATAAGTCACGGTTTGTTATTTTATTGGTTATTACAATAAACCATTTTGTAAATGATACATAGCTTATAATAATCACGTGCTTTTTTGCAAGTAATCGAATGTTTAAAAGGGACAAGTCACGTGATTGGCATATTTAAGTGTCCTGCACTGTAACACTAATAAAAAATGGTGGGAAGACAGTTTTACATGTAATTTACTCCAACTCTGACCATAACCCTAATTTTTAATTAGTGCGGAACGTTGCGGGTAATTTTTGTGGCCGGAAAAATCTGATTAGGAAATCACGTGAAGGGAAAATCGATCGTGGGTGAGCTGGTAAACCTAAAGCCGCAAGTCTTTAAAAATAAGTATACCAAATATCTATCTTATAGAATTACGGCAACAATCTCTAAAAAGACAAATGTGGTGTTAATATATAATTGGCGAATATTATCTGATAAATAGACATAAATTTATTTTCCGGGGTGACTGTGCTGTCCTCTACAATATACTCAAAACTTATTTGTCATCAAATCGTTAAATTAAATTAAAATTAAATTAAAGAAATAAAAGTGTATATGCTGAAATCTTAAAATTCAAAGTATTGCCTTTTTTTGCTTTTCTGCGAGTTTTGCCTATAAATTTTTTGAAAAAGGAATTTAATATAATCATAAAGAATCCATAAAACTAGCTAGAATGAGTCAATTAATACCTTTACGAAATCTCCTCCAAACACCATACAAACAGTCTGCCATATTCCTAGCCCGATTCTAGGTGTTACCCCACGGTAAAATCCTTTCATTCCATTATTTTCATAAATGAACTTGGCACAAGTAAGAATTGTCATTTTCTCAGGTCGACCAGGATTTTTCACTTGTGATTGCATTTCGACTCGTATTACTTCAATTGGCTATTTTCACATATCAAAAGATTAATTCCAAAATATACACTTAAAAATAATAACAATGAGAATAGAACAATACCTGATTCCAACAAGACAATCCACCGCCAATAGCACTCGCAAGAATCTTTTGCAATGGCGACAAAGGTTTTGTGAGATCCTGAACTTCACCATCTCTCACTCGTCTAATCAGGGTTTCACCGAGTCTTGTTAATCCAAAGCGACTAGCCCAATTCGTACACTGTCTCAGAGCAACTGCATTCACTCCCTTATTTATACCACGAATACCTTCCTTTTGGAATATATCATTGGCTATCTTGAGTGTCGATACGTGTTGACCAGCGGGAGCTTTGTGTCGCGTCACTTCTACAGTTTTCATGAATGTGCAAAATCCCATGGTAGTGTACGCTTGTGCTAGACCACCCGCCATACCACCAAGGATACCGGACTACTAGATGGAAATATAAATATTTTTAGAAATGCATACAATATAATCTTTTTGTTTACTGATTATCACAGATTATGTGATAATGTAAAATACCAGATGAAAAGAAAATTTGGGTATTTTACACAACCAAGAAAGGCGCTGCACCAGCTACACGCGTATAATATTCAATTTCACTCGCAGTAAAAATCAGTACTGCTCCCTAATAATAATAATTAATCAAAAAAAATGAATTAATAAACTGATTCAAAAAACGAAATAAAAATATTGAACAGAAAAACACACATACTTTAGTGCTAGCTTCTATCCACGCCCACGGGATTAATCCTTGATAAAATCCGAATACACCTCCACGCTGATGAATCTTCTTTACCGCGGTTGCTATCCCGTCCTTCCTATTTGCAGCGAGATGAGTTTTTATGACTTCAAATGGCTGTCCAAGTGTGGAGACTTCAAACATGTTTAATGCTAAACATTTAATTTCCACAAGAAAAATTTTATTTAACGCGTCATTCAAGAGATGAACAAGAAAGTAGGGAGTAAAAATACTTGTATTGCATATAAAAAACTATAAACTAAAACAACTAACAACCACACTTAATCCAAAAAAGCAAAACTATCTTGCTTTAAGGGATAGATGAGATTTGCAGTACTAGTAATAGTAGCACTGTAATTAGCACTAATATTAGTATGAAACTAAATATATTCTTTTTGTGAGGCAAGACAAGCTCTTACCAGCGCCTACACCAAGATTTTGCCAGCTTATGGGCTTTTTTTTAGGTATGTTGCCTTCCTGAACGACTCCTATGTCAATGGGTGCCATAATTTTCGTAAAGGATACCGATGCAAATACAGGGTAAATTCCATTCTAATCGCGTTGTCAATATTTATAGTAAAGATTCTCAGGATAGATGAGATGATCACGCAGTTTCATATTTTATATTATCGTTGTAACGATATTTTCATATGTTTATTTAACACGTAATCATGTGATGGTTCTAGTCAATTCTTTGTGTGCAAATATCCTAACGCTTAAAAACTTGATCAAGATATCTTGAATAATCATATCCATCCGGAACTCCGTCCTTTGATGGCATCGATTCTTTTAGATAATTGGCTACATTGGCAGGTACCATTGACCTTTGTAAATCAAGTTCTGTGACGTACGGCTTATCACCGGCTACTGCTTTGAATGATCGCCGTAGTTGCTCTGGTGTTGTCTTGTCTTCGGTCACGCTTACCATGTATATGATAAACTATTAGATAATTAATTATTTCTGTTAATTATGTATTTGGAATAAACAATTAATCTCTTTAAATACCTGTTCAAATGATGCCTCCTCACTGCCTTGTGATAATTGCTTGAATGTAGTTTCTAGTTCTTCTTCCTGTTATCACGTGAACAATGATATTAATGTATTCTTAATTTACAAATCAGGAAACTCCAATATACATACTCGATAAAAAATGCCCAAGCTAGCTAATGCGGCACTAAATTCAAACCAATTAAGAGTATTCGAAGAATCTCTATCGAAATGTCGAAAAGTACTTTCGAATTCTTCAAGTTGTCCGGGAGTCAAATTCGTCATGTTTCTTGAAACAATCTATTAGAGATCATGATGATTAATGAAAGAATTGATTTACACATGAACGAAAGACACCGCGAAATTACTTGATTCTCGATAAATGAGGTTTTCTTGGTGACTGCTTGTTGCACCAATCCCAACTCGAATTGCAAATCATCAACAGAGAATACTGTGTAATCATTTTCTTCAATATTGGCTTCTCGACATTGCGCGTCCAATTCTTGGATATGTTTAAGTGATTGTTCTAGCGGTTTTAATCTTGCTGATAGATTTTTCACTGTTTGTAATTGAGCCTATTATATTGAAATTACATCGATTATTTTCTCATAGAATCTTTTCTTATAAATGAGCTTAAATAACTTACTTCTAATTCTCCATCCAAGTTTGAAAGTACGTGAGAGATAGAGTCCAAACTTTTAATAAAATTGTTCGCAGAGTTGGCAAAAGATTTTCTTAAATTCTCTTTTATACTAGAGAATGATTAGAATCAATTATTGTAAGATAATGCTCGAAACAGAGATGATTCGCTTATTCAAGATAATAAACTCACTCTCGGATCTTATCATTAATTGATTTGTATCTTTGCCCTTCGGCATCCAATAATTCTTGCCACACTTTATCCAAGTCAGCCAATGTTAGACCAGCGGGTGGATAATACGGATGTAAGCCGTAAGTTTTAAGTTTAGTTTGTATATTCCCTAGTAAGGCATCCAGGTCACGTTTAACAGCAACCCATGATCGCTTTTCGCTGCTTTTGTACTTTATAAATTCTGCGGATTGTCTTTTCGCATCAGCATATGTTCCATCAAAACGTGCATTGTTCCATATTGCTTTTTTATCTCTTACATTTTGCATTAACTAAAAATTGTTATAATACTTATTAGGAAATGTATTTATAAATATTGAATCATATTTACTATCTACCTGTTTAACCCGTCCTTCGTAATCATGTTTCATGTCCCATACTGATTGCATCATTTCAGCAAATTTAGCCACTCTTCTACCAGCAGTTTCTACTTTATCTATTTATATGAAAACGATAAGACGTATGCGAACGAAAATTACTTGATTATAAATCAGTCAGATAACTCACCTAATTCAGAAAATGCATGAAAATATTGCGCCACATATGTCATGATTGATCGTTCATCTGGTTTGGAAACATCACAAACATCTTCGACATCTAAAAGTTTCTATTTTTTTTATTTTTAGAATTGCTCAACTATAGCGATTATCAATGTGGAAATACGATTTAAACTCAAATATCACCAAGCTCTTACGGGAATATCTAGATATTTTTGAGCTACATCAAACGCCAAAGCCGTATTTCGATGACGATCTGTCTAGCAATGAAAAAATGCATGTCAACAACCAGTAATAATTATTTTCTCAGGTTAATGAGATAAAATCATTCACACCTTAACCAACGCGTGATAATCAAGTAAATCAGGGCGATGACGATGAATTAATGCACAGCTTTAAAGAAATAAAGGACTCCAATAAATTTATGCGCTTCATTTTCGAAAGCATTCGCGTACTTACAACGCCAGTCCATCAGCCCAACTAATAAAAGTGTTTTTGGTTAATGTTACGATTTCTTTTTTTTTTTGAGAATTAGAAAAGCCATAATTCCATAATTTACCTATATGTGAAATCGCGCACATTTACTTCAGAATAAGGCGCAGTTTTTCGTTGACACCATAGCAAAAGACCTTCTTTGGCTGTAAGACCCTCTTCACTATATTAACGAATCCATGTACATCAAAATTATTAACCTGGATAATTAAAAATAATAATCATAACTAATTTACCTTATATCAGCAATGGTAAATCTCAAAATAATCGTCCATATCATACCAAGAATAAGTTTTAAATTTGTATCAACGATATCTTTGAGTTTGGATCAGAAATCCGTTAGCATGGATAAATAAACATAAAAAGAATATCATAAACAAACTTACCTTCAGCCCCAATATTCGTCAATGATACACCTCGACGCTTTATAAATTCCAATGACATGTTCACGTTCTCCACTTTTTGAATGCGCATTCTTGGTTTCTTATTATATTTCCCAAAAGAAGTATCACCGATGATTTCCTACGATTTTTTACGTAAAGTCAATTGAGATGAAAAATCTTTCCGATTAGATATTAGTTATAATTGGAGATCAGCAGCATCAAAGAAAAAAGGAATCATGGTGGAAAGAGAAACGGCTCACCAGTAATTGGATAAGTCGAACACCATCAGAAAACTCTTCATTCAAATCTCCTATTGGATTTATGTTCTTTAGTGCTAGTTTGCTATTCACCCTAATAAATCCAATTGTTTTATAATGTTAGTCTTCTCTAGATTAATATTAAATCCACATCAAAAAAATTGAGAATCACGTCTTATTTTTCCACCAATTACTTTCACATCTTATTAAGAGATCAAGAGTAAATTGATTTTATATTTATACATTCTTCGCGAATCAGATTATACAAAAATCACACTTAAAACAAGTAGACTAATACCATGGCATCTCTAATAAGATCGAAAAGAATTAAAGTATTTACTATAATTCGCACCATTTTCTAAAGGTTTTCTCTTGAATTATCTCCCAGGTCTTATCCGCGATTTTAGCTATATAATGTATCATAAATGCAATGAGAATAACAAGCAAAGAAGGAATGAAAATGACGGTAAGTACCGGTATCTTCCACAGTCACTTGTGAGGCGGGAATTGGTTTGAACGGTTGAGACATGTTCTTATTATTGTAATAGGTGATAGATGATGAATTTTGTAATTTATGAAATTTTATAAATTAGAATGTCACGTGAGACTCGAAGTAAATATCCATCCAGGTTACCAGAAATTAAACAATCTACAATTTGTTTGTTTTAATCCTTACGCGAATTTTTTCACAGTTGACAACTAAATGGAACACGCAATAAATAGTACTTTACCCTTAAATCAGGAGGAATTCACATGGAACGGAAAAGATCGTCCTCAGTCTGTTGAAAGCAGGGTACTAATACAGAATTTTCGTTGGTCTACTATTCTTTCAAAATTAATGAACGACATTATTCAAATAGGCTGGTCGAATTTCGGACTTGATCGATGAGAGTAAACCTTGGCCGTATACTCATCCCGTCGTCAATTCAATAAAGTATCGACAGAATCAAATGGACGGCGAGCTATTCATTCATTTGCTGCTAAAATTCGCCGGGGTTGAACGTATGTATAGTAGCTTGTTCTGTATCTTGTCTTTGTCTAGCTATACATTGACATGAGCATACGTTCTTTGTCTATTTAGCAAGTTTATATCCCCCCGTAGAAAGAGCAACTCTAAAGGAATTATCTAACGCTATATACAGTAGTACAAAGATAAATGAATTACAGTCTCATTGTTTGGTAAACCACTAACTTTAAAATCAATAGATATAAATGTGGAAAGAAGAGCAATATGCTAATTTATTCTATTACCAATAGATGTATTATATATTGAGAGATTGGAATATGCATCATAAATTCGCCGTTAGGTATGCGATTCCTTATGGATGGATGTCATTAATGGATGGGTTTTGGTCATTGGATCAATGGCGCTTTGAGGTATTTCCCCATCTCAAAGATTCTATCAATTTTCGACACGTAAATGGCTCGTGATCTGACCTTTCTCTTTGATTATATGCCAGGAAGCTATTCGTTTTCTAGGTGAACCAGAGGTTAAAAAAGTCGATTATAATCATAAAGTCATTCAAACTCTGTTCAATCATGCAGGACCTCGTGAGGCAATGCTGTATGTTGATATCACAAAGCCAGATTTGACGTCTAAAAAAGAAGATGTGGAACTTTTATTTGATTTATTAATGCGATGCGATTTAATGGAGGCATTGTTTTACTTGGTAAAGAATTAAATGACAAGCAATCAATCGGAAAATACACACGCAAAATTCTAATTTTTACGTTTGAAATGTTTATAGCGAAATCAACCTGAAGAATTTGACAAAGCCTTGTTATTTCGAAAATTATTAGACTATTGCTTCAATGAAGGTAAAGCATAAATAAGTAGCTTCGATGTTACGAAGATTCGAGTATTTATTAATTAACATCATCTCAATAACTTAATAGCACCACGTGCTGAAAAATTAAACAAGTTATTATCTTTTCCGTTAAATAAAGAAGAGGAGTTGATCGTGGAAGATTATTGTCTAAAAAGTGACAATCCAGTTTGTTTGGAATTCTACATGATGTACGCCGTTCATCATGATCGTAAAATCGAAGCCATTAAATTGTATGATCGATTGAGACGTGAATTGAAAGATGAACGTGCAACAGCAGCCTCTTTCCTCAAGAGAGGTAAGATCATCGAGGATATACGGAGAAATTTATCACCCATAGAAAAGCAGTTATTATCACAAGAGTATGATTCATATGATATTATAAAAGGTTAGAATTTCAAGTTAATTATTTATTAATTATAAACATCTAGATTGGTGGCTAAATTCACTTCTTTTAAATGAATCAGTGAATAGACCCCTGAAATCAGAAAAGAGGAAAATGAAAGGAAAAGAACCGATATCGTCTTATACCCTGGGTTCATTCAAGTCAAACATTTCCCAAGCAACCAGCGCAATTGAATCATCATCATCGCCCAAGCAGATAACACGATCATCAAATCAAAATGAAAATTCGTTTATTGTCAATTTAAGATCACCTTTAATGCCTCAACAGGCTAATCAGACAATTTCACCACCAAGTGTCCTTTCCCCATTGACATCTCTGGCCAATAAGAATGTATTCACCACTTCTAATAATACGGGCGCACGATCTCCAATGACTACACCACTACCCAATAAAAGTCCTTTCTCACCTACTTCAACTGCACCTTCCCCTTCCACAGTAAAATCCTCAATTAAAAAATCCGAAGCAATTCGACATACTCCATATCTAGCAAATAGGCGAATAACAAGATCGATGACAAGGAAACAACCGACACCCTATTTGCGAACAACTAATCAGCAATCAGTTTGATAGATTTATACTATTCCTATGCATTTCATTCAATTATATGTAAATTAGAGAAAGTTTCGTAATATATATAGATATATATATATAGAGAGAGAGATATATATATACATATATATACATACATACACATATACCAGATTTATTTAATTAATTAATTCGTTATATTTACAAAAATAAAAAAATATAAATAATTGATTGTCAAGTAAAGTACATCATCGACTAGTTTATTTACATTGCAATTTCTGGAATGCGCACGAAAGTGGACACAAGTCTAGCATTTGTTCTACGGAAGAACTATATCGGAAAAAATAATGATATCAATTAGAATCGAAAACTAAATCTATTTAACTGGTCAAAAATAAATAATAAACAATACCGAAGAAATTCCACCAATGATTCCCTCATGGTACAACGGTTTCCCGTTCCATAAATCCGTGTGCTTTACAATCTTTTCGTTAGTATCCAACTCCAATCGGATAAAGCTGTGGTGTACAATTTCCTTATTGAATAATGCAACAAAGTATCGTTGATTGAGATCGATTTCGATTATATGTTCGTCGTTTTTTAGCACTTTGTAGCTATCAGGGGTGGATTTTGAGAAAATTTTTGGCATTGCGTAGAATTGGGCTTTGATATTCTCGAGTCCAGGTGCAATCATTACTGGATCTTCAAATCTATGGATATGTCGTAAGTCAAGTCAACTTTAATTTACATTGATTTGTCCTACAGTAATACATATTGCAAAGAAGAAGTATGGTACGGGCAATAAAATGGCAGTTTTTTTCACTATACTCTATCCTGAACCAATAGCTAACCCTTTTCCGAAGTAAGTATGGTGTATTGTTATACTCTTCAACCCATACCATTACTACTTTGCTTAAACTGAACATATGCATTAGTGTAATACCCTGTTGAAAGTAGGAATGGGATATTGGTTGGATTCGGAATCTAATCTTATCACCAGCACTAACCCTTATCTTTACTCTAATTCTAGTCCACATATATCCTGTTCGGAAAAGATAATACTTACAATGCGTCCTCGTTATAGAATCTGAATTTTTCTCTGGTTGGCTTGCACGAATACAATTCAATAATATGGCTAATCAAAAGACCTCGGGTTGGCGAAAGTGGTCTTACATTTTCGGCAAGTGGGTGGTCAACAACAGTTGTATCTGTTGATGTTGCGGTGTCTGTAGTAGTGGTGTCTGCGGAAACTTGGTTAGATGAGGTTGACATGGTTTTTTATTATCAGAATTGTGGTCAAAATTTAATTATATCAGAATTCTGATCTTCATTTTTTAATTTACTTATAGCTTGGCGCGCTACGTCATTACATGTGTATTTGTAGATTGTATGATTTAAGCAAGAATAATCGCCTTCAATGCTTTCACAACATCACCCTGATTTTCACGTAGAAATCGATCAGCAACTTGTTGCGTCACTTCCATTTCAGAAATCTATTTGTCAAATACCATGTAAATAACCTTTTCATAAGAAAGAGAAGTCCAGTAAAAACTTACAATTAATTCGATATCCTCTTTAGCGACTGTAACCTTTTCAAGTTCTTGTTGCCTAAATGTTAGTGAGATTGGAAAGCTTATTAGAAAGAGCTGAATGGCATCCATTTCTCCGTTTTATTTAATCAAGGTCATACTTTTGTAGTTTTTGTGCTTTTTGTCTCTGACTTTCTTCTTTTACAAATGTCAATGCCTAGAGGAAAATTTAGCAAATCAATCAATTCAATGATGGTGATGATAATATTAATAGTAATAATAATAATAGTCAGCTTATTCAATGATGAAAAATAAAAAATAACCTGATCTAATTTCGTTTCATCGATACTTTCAGCCTTCTCTGCATAATATCCTTCCACTTCTTGCATATCTTTTTTTGCTTTTCCTTTGAATCCTTTTTGCTGTGGCTGCTGCTCTTCAGGCTGTTGTTCTTCGTCTACACCACCACCACTTTGTGATGTGGCACCACCATCTGCGGAAGATAGTGAGCCATCGCCGTCACCGCTACCACCCCCACCACCACCACCACCACCACCACTTGATTTTGCTCGTGAGGTAGAGGATTTTTTAGCGGGTGTAGATTGATGTTGGTTTATTATTGGCTTAGTTTCTGCATTGTGGTGATGTTTTTCAGTGTTGGCTGCCGAAGGGGATGTAGAATTATCTGTGGTGGCGTTTGTTGTTGAGATTGTGGCAGTTGTTGTATTATTGTTAGCTGTGGAAGATGCGGATTTTGTTGCATTTGACTTTTTATGCTTCTTTGTCATTTCTAAAAATTCAATGCTTTCTTTAAAGTCTTTAAACTGAAAAATGAGTTAAAACAACCACCAGATCTTCAATTTGTTTTGGTAGAATCTATCGATCGCTATTAACTGATATATAATGATAACGATAATGGATTGGATTTGGATCTTACTATAAACGACTGTTTCAAAATATAGATATCCAAACTTGGCTTTAATTTATTACTTACCTAGCGATTATTAAAATGTCAGCAGCAACTACTACTACACTTTCCACACGTTTTCAAGGTTTTTGGAACCATCCAGCCGGTAATTAGTTGAATCTTTGTCTTCAATTTCATTTCCTTGGTGACTTTTCAGTATCTTCTCGTAGATATTCTCTACTCGTCTTGCGTATTAAATTATTCTTCTCGATCGCGATTAAAGGTCCCAAAACGATACATTTTTGGGGTCCTATAATGAAATGGGTAATTATTCTAAATAATAATTTAAATAATTTAAAGGAAATCTGTATATATTGAAAAACGATGACGAATATAGGGATTAGTTATAGCGGGATTAGGTGACTTGAAACGTCCAGCAGAGAAATTATCAGTGTCTCAACAAGTTGGTAAGTTGTGATCTCGTCAATATCGATATTATTTATCTCTAATTGCATCAATCAATCAATCAATCAATTCTCCTAATAAATCAATGCACCCAATAAAAAGCTCTAACTGCAACAGGGTTAATCTGGTCCAGATGGTCAACACAAATCGTTCCAATAAACTATCCACTTTTATCGGTGAATGCTTTTGTCGCTGGTACTGGTATTGTGCAACTATATAGAATATGGGAGTAAGGATTAAATATTTCACGCTCTTTATTTGATATTTTGAATTGATTAAACATTAACGAGGATTCTGATTTATTATTTAGTTATCATAGAAATATACCCAAATCAATTGACAAGCACGATGAAAAACTTGCTGTTGTTGCTTCATCCTCTTCGTCCTCCGCATAATAAATAAAAATGATAATACAGAAAGTTTAAGTTTAAGAATTAATAATTTAATAATAGAATTGATTGCATACTAAAAATTAATAAATTAGTCTAAGAAAATCGCCCAAAATTCCAATTAAAAACTCTAGATCCACTAGTTGCATTCTTTTTACCCCTAATGATATTGTTGCTATTATTACTACTATTACCACTCTTTTCGGTAAGAACAACTTTCTCCACAATCTGCTCGAAAGTCGTCGATGAACCCTCCGGATCCGCCAGATATCTTTTCACGATGCCAAATTTCCACATATGATTTCGAGTGACACCTTTTGCCTCTAAAGCGCGTGCAAGTAAGGCGCAAGTATCAAAATCACCATCAGTCGCTCTTAGATGTTCGATTAATTGACGTGTTAATTCGTCGTTCACACCGGCGTCTGATGTAATCCATTCTAATACGCGTGATGCGTATCGATTGTAGCTGTGTTCTTGTCCTAATAATTGGTCAAGCATTGAATATCGTGATTCGTATATTTTATAAGAAGGCATTGGCGAATGAGTTGAGAGCCCAGAGAAGATCCATGACGATCGTACTTTAACAAAATCAACTTTAAATGACACGAGATTATTTGAGTCGGGTGATTCTTCATCTTTAAGAGATTCTAAATTGATTTTACATATCATATCATAATCGCCTATATAAGATGTTGATTTCGATGAAGAGGATGGTTCAGATCCCTCTTTCAAATGATATTCTTTTGATACAGCTTCAATATAATCACTATGAAATTTGATATTCGCATAAAGGGCAAGAGCATCAGCTGTACGTGAATCTTCTCCCAAAGGCCCAAGACTACCCGTGTTTAATTCAGCAAATATAGGATCTTCAATATCACTGTTGTTATTATGAATATTATTGTTATGTAAAGATTTATTGACACCAATCCACTCTCCAAACAAAATCTTGACTTGTCTCAAATTACGGCGTTCACAGATAAATTGAGATTCTTTTCCCTTCCCATCTTCACCTTCAATAACAGGTCTAAATGTGTAAACACCAGTCTTTGGGCAATACTCTACACAATCAAGTGCCAACGAAAGCGAGGCTGTTGGCTTTTGCCCAACACGAACTAATACTTGTGAATTATGCGTAATCATGTGTTCCATTAATGCGTGTTCGAAAATAGAGTACCATTCTCGACTAACTCGTCGGAGTATATAGATTTCTTTAATGCTAAGATTGGCAAGAATGTGTTGAATAATGTCGATCGGAATACGTGGCGGTGAAGAAGCCATATTTGCCAATTCGTTATTGATTATTTTTAAAGGTTATCAAAGAGAAAAACCGAGCCAAAGAAAAAAGTCAAGTTTATTTATAGTGAAGCAGTGCGATGCATTTTGCAGATTCCACGTTTTCGATAACTAAATTTACACGTAGACACAAGTAACGGTAACACGTAATAGAGAAGTTTTATTTATTAAGGTTTAATGTAACCCCATAGAATGACTTATACATGTATAGGAGTGCGACTATGCTAGATGTATATATAATATACTCGATGAAATTATTCAAGAAAGAATCAACGACAAAGTTTTATTGCCAACGTTTTTTTGCTCTTCACTGTTAACATACCGAGAAAAAGTATCAACAATCACAGAACCAATCATAATCCAAGAGAATAAAACGCAAGCTAAAACCAATGTCACAATTAACGTGCCAAAAAGTACCGTGCCTATATGAATAATTAAATCATCAATTTTTTCATAAATCAACCAAACATCAATTCAAAATACTTACCGGCTACAACGAAGCTGACCACCCAGACAAACAACGCGATAGAATATGCGATACCAAAAGTTAACATCGTCGTGCATAAGGTAAATATTAAGAATGATAGCAGTGGGATTGATGATAGTACAAGGAATATAGTTAAAAAGAGCTGGCAGATGAGATGAGAGATGGAAAATTGTGAGCGTAATTCAGAGTATTTTGTTGGAAAATTGATAAGAATTTCTATTAAAATCAAATTTATTACCGAAATTAGTGGATTCTTTGCATAATAATCATTGTAAAGAGAGGCAAGTTGAAGAACCCTGTCGTTTATTTTTGGCAATATATCATATGGTTAATTGGGGAAAGAGAATTCGCTTTTACTCTACAAACATTTCTAATTAACCGACCCATCTATGATAAACTGAAATTTTGGATTCTGATCTTCTTGTTCTTTTCTTTCAAGTTGCTGCTGAATTTGTCCGTCTTGAGTCTCCATGTTCAAAGAAATTAAGAAATTGCGAATTGCAGTTTCCAGATGCATTTATATAACTTTGTGAAGGTGACGTGACCGGCTAGATGTTACGACTTCCTGCATGATGCTCATTGATGATAAGCAAAATGGATCACGGACTATCATTGCCAAGAAAAGATTCTGATCATGGGAACAGTTTCATCCCATTTAAGATATGATGTTTATGAAGTGAAAACGTTAATGAAAGGATCTTGCCGAAACATATGAATGGAAAAGAAGAATTGCGATATACATGTACCTTGCTATAGTTATCTGTTAGTATTAATATTTAGGATTAGATTGAAAATTTTGAAAATGTCGACTCAAATCTACCGACTGGTGTTCTTTTGCTGACGCAAAAATGTGTCTTGGCACTCGATGGTAGTTTCCGAATACATTCTTGATTCAACGCGAATTTCATCCTATGCATATTTAATTAGAGACCGTTATGCAGCAAAGCCGCACCTTCCGCCTTTTGTAAGTTTTCCATGCTGGCACCAAAACATTCAGAGAATTTGTGCCTATATTTTGAACTTGATATACTTTAATTATTGTGGGGGATCATGGAATATCTATTATAATTAACTATAAATAACAACTATACTCATAAATTTACATAGTATTTACCAATATAAATATTATTGCAAAATTAATTTAAGTTATATATTTTACGCACTTATAAGAAATTATAATTCTGGCCAAATGATCCCCCACATGTGTCTCTTCCGAAATTAGTATGTCATTGTCGTGTCCCAAATCAAAATCGACCCAAATTAGAATTTGGGATACATCCCAATTGTCAATTGGGACAAATTGTCTTTTTATAATGGTCTGGAAATAATTGTATTGCTGGTGAATTTTTAAACCATTCTGGAATTTGATATCCTTCTCTTCGTACATGTCCTGACTCTTTTTTCCAAGACCCTCGGAAAGTTGTGGTCATGTGATTACTGGATATCTTGACCATTAGATTTAAATTTGAAGTTAATTTCGGGTGGATATTTACGATTGCATCTGGAAATATATGACCTTCTCGTCGTGTTTCTTATATTTTTCTGAAGTTTTTTGTTAGTTTTATCTTTTGATGCTTAAGAGAAATCATAGAAACGCTCTTCTTTAAAATCGGCGGCTCCGCTACGAATGATAGTTAATGCGCATAAAGAAAACATATAAAAGAAATACCGTGGTTTGCAATAAAATTCTTTTAGTGGAATCGAGTTAAACTCCTCAAATGACCTAAACGAAAAAACACAAATTGATTTTTTCATCTCATCCTTGAGGTATTTTATTTTTTCGGAATTTGAGACAAGTGTGTTGTCTTATAGAAAGTGTAAAAATGCGCCAAGCTAGTCGTTTCAAAAATTTCCGAAATTAATAGCTCTATGTATTAAGCAGAATCTGTCATTGAATTGACAAAAATCAGAATCTCGATATTGCATTATCAATTCTATCAACCCTTCGTCAAATTACTTCTTAACAAAACATTATTATTTTATATACAGTGCGCACCATAAATAATGAGAATTTTTTTATTTTATGGTTTTTAAAAAGAAAGACTGTTAAAAAATTAAGAAGTACAATATATTCTTTAAGATTTAAAGAAAAAAGTTTGTTATATTGAATATGTTAGTATAATAACTATTAGTCTAAAAATATAATGCATTATTTAGGTGATTTATTTTGCCAAATTCAGTAAATTTTGTTAAGCAATTCCAACAAGTTCTAAAATAAAATTGTTTTTAATGATTTTTTTTGTAATTATTTTTTAAGTAAACCAAAAATCACAAAAATTTTATTGTAATATTAAAACTATCATAGAGAGTATAAATGCAGAATAAAATAAAGGAAAAAAGTGTCGGTATGTGCAAAAAAAATTATTAGAATTTTGCTATTTACGATTTTCTAAGCTTTGTATTCGATTATTTAGGTTTTGTATTTGATCCTCTAAGCTTTGTATTCGATTCTTACAGGATTGGCATTCACAATCGCAAGATTTCAAATGATTGTTATTTCCTGAACCTTTTGATGATAAATTTTCTATATACTTATTAGTATTGCTATTTTCTGAAACGTTTGATGATAAATTCCCTATATGATTATTGGTATTACTATTTCCTGAAATATTTGATGATGAATTCTCTATAGAATTAGAAAAGCTAAAATGATCTAAATTACATGAAATTGAAGTTTCTTTTATCTGGTTTGAACTAAAATGAAATGGGTAAAAATATGGCATTGACGCATTAAAACCCGGCGGAAGAAAACATGTTCCGGATATGATATTATCATCCGGAGGAATTGACATTGGTAGATATTCATTGAAATGCATGCCTTCGCAGAACTCAACCGCTAAAGGTGGTATATGAAGAGACTCATTTACTTCCTTGGCCAGTCGTTTGTATTCTTCTTTGACTTGGTTTGGTTCTTCTTTCCAAAATTTAGAAGCGATCTTTGATAACGTTGGCATATCACATTGTTGTCGTTGTTCTTGCTCGTTATTCAATTTCACCATAATGTTACGATAAATGAAAAAACCATTTTGACTTGTATTTTTTACAGGAAATTCACGGGGATGCGTTGGTTTTAGATGTTTATACTGGGAGATATCAAGTGAAATACTATCAAGGGTGTTATTAGTATTATCTACCATGATTTTTGAACAAAAGGATAATGCATTAGTAGTAAGATACTGAACGTATTTATATTCGCATGATCATAAAAAAATTTGCATTCTAATGGTGCCGTGCAACATCATATAAAAACTTGATCCTAACGGCGGCGCCTGCAATATATTTATTTAGAACATAACGTAACGCTAGTATGTAATGGTGCACAATGTTACCGTTACCTCTGAGAAAATAAAAAAGGGAAGAAGTACGTGTATCTTCGTTAATAAATCGCTATTTATCGAGAATGATGAATTTTGGCTCACCGAATTCTTTACATTAATGTGTTATTTTTGCTTTCACAGCATAAAACGCAATTCATGCATATTACATGTGTTATTTTGCTGTCACGGCAATTCAATCTTGATATTACGATCATGTCGTAATTACTTATTTATATCGATATTTGTTAAAATACTTATAATGCCAAATTATTCCAAAATTTCACTAATAGTCAGACCATTTCAATTCTCACTAAATGCAATTCGCTGAGACCATATGGCGGGCATATATTTAGAGATTGCATCTATAGAGTATATATTTAGAAGTCTTATAAGCTTGAAACTGAGCAGGAGCATGCATTTAGGAGTGACTGTATTAAGATTGCCTTTGCATATAGATGGCCTTAATTTCGGCGTCTATGTAAATTGTCAAATTATTTTGGCAGCCGTAATTAATTTGGCACTTTGACATATATTTTAATAGATGTTCAAATTAAATACGACATTTAGGCCCCATCTATACCTTTGTAATTAATTTAAACAAAATTTTTGTAGCTATCAAAATAAATATCTGTAATAATCAAAGCAATTACTATATATCATTCGAAAGTTCAGATTCTCACAATAATGAGATTTTTCTTGATGAGAATTAGGGTTTAAAATTTTTATTGAAAAAAAATTTCAAAGACTTATAATACACATATAGTCAAACCCTTTATAATCACCTCTATTTGTAGTCACATCTTTTTATAGTCATCCAATTTGACTTTTTCAGCTAAATTGTTTATACTTATATCTTTATATACTTTTACTTTTCCAAGATAAAGAGGTTTGACTAAATGTATATAAAATTAATCAAGCTGGTTCAATATAAGAATGGCTTTGCAATTAGTCTTCAAATTTACAATAATTATATTAATACAGTAAATTTCAATACTTATTTGAAAATTAATAATTTGTTTTATAACTTTATTTGATTTAAGATAAAAGAGAATATTTAAATAAATAGAAAATATTGTAATAGATCCAAAAAAATGCTTAAAAAAAGATAAAATTATTAATAATATTGTTAATAGATATTTAAGACTTGTACAGTCAACACGGGAAGTAATGGCGAACATGTTTTTTATCTATACCTTAATAAGAAATTGCTAAAAATTTGGCATTATATTCTTTAGGATGACAGAAACAAAATTTTCTAAGGTCACAAAGCTTTTTAATATAGTAACATTTTGTGTAATCACATGCTAAAGATGGTGGGCTGGGGGAGTTATCCTGATTAAAAATATTTTTTATAAGCAAGTGTGAAAAAAATTTTATAGAAATATATTTAAACATATAGAAAATATATTTGTAATTTAAAAATAATTTTTAGTTAATATTTATTGAATATATACTAATTAAAAAAAGACTTAATTTTGATTAAAATTAAATCTTTTTTTGACTGATATTTATAAAATTTAAGAAATATTCAAAGAGAAACTTAATAACAATTCAAAGTATTAATAATACTTTATGACTATTAGACTGAATATGAATAAATACTAGTAACAAAATCACTTAAAGATTGGTAATAATTGTGTTCTTTTAACACAATAACTGGATTGCTAAAAAGAGTTCTCAAAATCTCAATGTCAAATATAATATATGTATTAAAACGTTTTTAAATTTTTGAAATCAAATATAAGATATAATATTTGTATTATCAGCAATACGAATTGAAAATAAGTGTATGAACAATGTATTATTAGCGATACAAAGTCAAAGGTAAGTTTATGAGCAATGTATTATTAGCAATACAATCTCAAAAACAGATTTATGAATTAAAATAATAATTCCTTTATTTAATATAATGTTCAATAAGTTTTACTACAAATATGTTCAGATAATCTAGTATTAAGTTAATAACTTTTATAGTGTTTCTGGCAGATGTGCTTAAGCTATTATAATATTAATTCAAGATCTATATAATACTTATAACAAAAATATTGAAGTGATTATACAAGAAACAAGAATACTTTGTCAAAGATATGTAAAGAGGAGTTTATACTTGATTATTTACTTGATAATAAATGCAAACTTTGCTCGTATAAATGATCAAAACTATGTAATAACTAGTTATAAGATAATAATTAAGAATATTATTATTAAAGAACTTGTTCTAATAATTATAATATATATTTCTTTTATATATATTCAAACTATAATCTGTCAGCTATATGAATTCATGTTTGCTAAATCACTTAAATTCTATTGGTTCAATATTTGCTTATTCTTTTGCTTATTCACTTGTTCATTTATTTATTTGTTCATTTACTTGCTTGTTTGTTTGTTCATTCTATGTAATTAGATTTTGCCAATAAGATATAATCCAATAATATTAAGTATAAATGATCCAGTAAAATATTCGATCAAAATTTATTATATAACAGGACTTACATTGTTAAGATTTTGCTCTGTAAAATTAAAATATTGAAATATCTTTTCTTTTAATTGATCACTAGATTTTTGGTTTATTTTTTCAATTGTTCCTGGGGTTAAATATTTATTTATTTGATATGATCAAAGTATATTTTTATGACTTTTGAAATATTAATAAAGTCATAAGGTCAATATATGTTTTAAAGTAATATCTACAATGCTGATTCTATTTTTAAATAATCATCTAGATTCAGAATTATTATTAATATAAAGCATGCTTATCTTTATTATATCTTTTTGTCTGCTTATTCCAATTTATGTATTCTTTTGAAAATTCACATTATAAACAGGGATAAGATAGGACTACTTTACAACGACGGTGGTTCCATAAAATGCTCATGCTCTTCAACAGTTCTCAATGCTCTCGTTGCCGCCCATTCCCGTAAAAATTTATTCGAAGAATTACCTAAATTTTCAAAAAACTAAACAATTTGAAAGCAGTTCCAGGAATCGGTGAAAATAAAAAGCGGTTATAATGTGGTTAGCATAGTTCAATATAAAAAGATATGACTATTGTTGTAAAAAGGGTTAACTTTGACTGTACATTATTTTCGAGACATAGTTCTTCCACATTCTAATTAGTAATAATTTTATATATTCACTCAGATAATAAACATATAACTCTTATCTTATTTATCTTTTGCTATCGAATTCCATGTAAAGAATTCCTCAATTGAAAAGTTTCTCTTCCATCTGCCAGTCCCATAAACAAACACCTCACCTGGCATTCCGCTGATAACTACTGGCAAGTACTGCTTCTTCCAACTCGAGTATCTTTATTGATATCATGTTGTTTCGCTTCATCACAGACTGTAACATCAAATATTAAAACGGAAATATCTTGAATGTGCAGCCATCTTATCAACGTAAGCGTGACCTTAAAAAATTGACTAACATAACTCGTCTAAAGCAGATGATAAAAAAGTTGCGGTATTAACTACTGCTAATTTTTTATTGGATGTATGCGCTATGATAGAGTTTTTTATGTTTATTGGATTGAGTAGTGTTCACGGATAGGAATGTAGTCTATAACTAATTTTATTGTAAGTTTTCAATTTACAGGGTCAGACGAAAAAGGACAGGCGAAAGCAAGTAAAAAGAAATATAAGATTAATAAATGGTTTTATTTCTCGCGTTATGCACGCTATCTGCTGATCTTTGCTATTTTGATCGATAAATATTATAACCAAAACGCTAAGGTTTTTTTGCTACAGTATTTATATTAAAAATACAAGTAGGAAATACCTGCTATTATTCTTTGTCTTAGGGCACTGTGATAGTTTACCTTTAAAATAACATAAAATAAACAGACAGAGCAGATAAAACTCTATACAAAATGTTTTATGCTGGTTGTCGATCATATAGTGAAAAAATTAGTCATTTAATCGGAATTTCGTATCACAATATAAAGCCATCGCAAAACTACTACGAGATGCACACATTACCTTTGCTGGCATATTCACCTGGCATGTGATTCTTGCGGTTAGAAAGCATTGGTGGAACCGGCTCTGCCGACACTTCGTGTTATATGCTTCGGAATTGTCGCATGTAACACAGGCACAAATGCCATAACCCAAATACGTAAATATAGCAATGTTAATTTCATTATGCCTTCGTAGATCCCTAGTGCTGGGTTGATTGATGAATGGTACAATCTTGAAATTGAAGATAGCCATTTACTTGTTTTATGAATTTCTTGGCTAGTCGTATGTACTCTTCTTTGACTTGTTTTGTCTCTTCTTCCCAAAATTTAGAAGCGACCTTTGATAACGTTGGCATATCATATTTTGTTCATGTTTTTATTCAACTCCACCATAGTGTTACGATAAATGAAAACCCATTTTAAAATATTCTTTAAATCATTTAAGGCCATACAAACAAAATTTTGACTTTCATAACCCGGCCGGGTCATAAAAACCAGTTTATGAAATTTAAATTTTGAGACGCAGTCTAATATTTTATTGTAAAAACATCAAACAAGTATAAAATCGATTATTTTTTTAGTCAGGTAACTTCAGGACGCGATATTTCGCGACTCCGTAAACGGATCGAAGCGATCTAACTATTATTAGATTCGCCTTAACTAGAAAATTCGAACAATGGTTAGATCGCTTCGATCTGATCATTGGATCGCGAGATATCGCGTCCTGGATTAAAAAAAATTATCGATTTCGATTTTATATAAATAAAATTTTTTAACTTTAAAAATAAAAAGCCGGGTCATTTTACATAGTCATGTGTTATGAAAACCAAAAAACTTTGTGTGGCCTTACAGTAATTTCAAGGGGATACGGTGGTTTAGATGTTTACACTGAGATATCAAGTAGGATCGATAAATAATTCGATTAATCGATTTTCAATTTGAGAATCGATTCTCAGCCCAAAATTGATTCTCAAAATAGATCATATATACGTATATGTTATTATTTTTTATTACGTGTACTAAGAATTGAAATATCTAGTTCAGGAATTTATTAACATTAGGAAGATAACATAATTTGTTCTACCAAATGGCTATTTAATCGATTTCATTCAGGTGTAATTGAGTTTCCCACATCTGAAAATAGACATTCAGATGTAACTGATATGGCAGGAATTGTCATGTATTTATGTGCAGATTGTGAAAGAATTGGGTATAGGGACAGGAATCGTTTCTCGATTATCGAGCACAAATTACGACGATGATGATGATGACAATAGCAAGCGATGACATATTGGTCTTTGATTTTTTCCCTTTTCGTTTGAATAGTTGAAGTTGTACTTTGACTAGTTGAAATTATACTTTGATTAGTTAGATGCGTAGAGATACTAGTGGTAAAGATACTATAGAGGTCGTCTCCTCAAATTCTTAAATTTTAATCGATTTCCAAATTTTAATCGATTCTCAAATAGTGATCGATTCTATCAAGGTGTTACAGTGGCTCACACATGTAACCGAACACGAAAATTAACTTTCTAGCATTTTTATTTCCATGACTATTAGTTTGGAC